CAGAAACATCTGCATTGGTTGCCAGGGGCAAGCAGTAGAATAACTCTGCAGAAGTCCCTTTGTCCACCTCACCCCCCACCCATGGGAGATGCCGCTCTTTGGGGGAAAAAGGAGAGGATGCAGCCATCAGCTAGGGGTTGAATAAGGCATTTGCCACAACTTCTCATCCAGAGGACTGATTTAAAACCCTGAATTTGGCAGCAAAAAAGGAGATATGGGGACAGAGTAGAGAGTTAACCCCCTTGCTCCTGACCATGATGACACCTCCCCCTGCAGCAAACATTTCCCATAGTAGGGGTGGGGAAGGGAGGTTGAATAGGGGACTCCAGCCTCTCTTCCCCATGGCTGATGCCTCAAAACCCCCTACCTCCATTCCAGTGCCTGAGGCTCATGCCCTAATTGCCTCACCTAGTTATGCTACTGTTGGCTGCATCCTCAGACAGTACCTTAGCCTACAGGGGTATATATTGTAGGTCTAAGGACATAGGCAGACAAGGTTCTTTGGGTAAATCTGATATCTTTTATTAGACCAACTCGAATAGTTGGAAAAACTCTTCTTTGCAAGCTTTTGGATACAAATATCCTTCGTCAGGCTGAGGAAACATCTGCATTTGGTCTGTGCTCTTCCTGGATGGAATAAATAGTAAAGAAGTCAGAGGCTGGTATGCATGCATATCTATTCTTTACTATTCATTCCATCCAGGAAGAGCACAGACCAAATGCAGATGTTTCCTCAGCCTGACGAAGGATATTTGTATCCAAAAGCTTGCAAAGAAGAGTTTTTCCAACTATTCGAGTTGGTCTAATAAAAGATATCAAATTTACCCAAAGAACCTTGTCTACCTTATCCTACAGAAATTCTGCAAAAACAAATCAAGAGAGGCTCTGTATATGAATGTTTAGGGCTGTAGTTGACTGACTGAGAAACAAAAAGCCCCCTACAGTGTTATACTGCATATCCTCCAGAAAATCCATAAACACTCAGTAATTGGATTGTTTGGGGTGAGGGACAGGTTGGCTAGCTTTGCAGCTACTCTGTGTCCTAATCAAGATTTTCCCATTATGAGGAACTGTTATTTTTCTAGAGAAAAATGCTCTGATTTGAACAAAAACGTTACTTCCACAGGGTAGCAGACCAGCATCTTGAGACAAATGCTAGTATGTCATTTTTAACATTCAGGAGGTATCCACTGCATGGAACTGGAAACTGGATGTGCTGTGAGAACTTTTTTCCATAACTTGTGGACCAGATAGATGTCCTTCTTGGCTGAAGAGAAACGGGAGGGAAATTCCAGACCAAGTGCTAATGGGGACTGTCAACACCTTTCTAAATGAAGTTAGCTACTGACTTCTATTGAAGCAGCACTAGTATGGCCTTTGTTCACAAAGTCCATTATTTAACAATCTGGCTAATTATAAGCCTTTGTTTAATCCCCCCTTTATGCTTAAGATTATTGAACAGTTGTGGCAAGGCAACTCTCATAGTGTCAAGTTGCTTCTTATCTCCTAAACCCTTGTAAATTTGTCATTCAAGCTGGCTAACACACAAAGACTACATTTAATCTATTGGTTGATTATCTCCTAGCTATGATTAAAGATTAATTGTCTAAATGTATAGAATTAGTTCTATCAGCAGCCGACCATGACACTGACCACAAGATGGAATTGACTTGCGTAAGTCTCTGGGGAGCAGGAAGGTTTGCCCTCAAGAGCCTTGTTTTCTCTAAGTTTGATCCTAGAAAGTTTTGGAGACACACAAAGATCAGTTTTGCCCAGCCGTGCCACTGTCTATACAAGATGTCTGTGATACTGTTAGGAAGCAGGGGTTGTTGTGCCTTCAGTATGAGAATAACGCCTACTACACTGGGGTCTGACTGAGGATGGGGTAGAGAGGAAAATTAGTAGGCTGAGTCACAAACTTGGTCAGACAGAGATGATGCTGGTGGGCTGGTGAAAAGTATATATATCAAAGCCTCAGATGAAGAATGTTTGTTGTTTGCAATATGGTGAGCCTAGATAGCTTCCCAAATGCTGTTGGATGCCAAGATAGACTAAGACTGATTATTTTTGTTTGTAGTTGAGTAGGAGGTTGCAAACAGTTCTGTCTGGTGCAGACCTTGTAACATTATCTTTACTGCTATTACATTTAATAATTGTTATGATTTCTACCTGCCAATATGTCTTATTCTATTCAGAAATTGAAGATGGTGCAAAATCCAGCATCCCACTTTAGAACTAACTCTGGTGTCTTTGCCTGCCACTACATTGTGCAGCATAGCCTCAGTAAGCTGGGACCTGCCTACTTGAAAAACTGTCACTCTCACTTAACGAAATGGGGGATTAAATTTAATAGGATCACAGATGCTATCAAGCATTGCATTAAGGCAAAAGGACAAGGCTCCAACCAAGGAGCGGACCATATTAAAAACAAATGGCTTACCAAATATTATGCAAGAAATCAACGTTGATTTTGAATGACATGAGTGCATTTGCCTGAACGCACGCACGCACACACGCACGCACACAGCCTGACTGAACAGCCCTTTAAAAAAAAGAAAACCACAGCAGCGTAACTTAAGAATACTCAATTTTATTGTTGTTTAAATGATTACAGTAGAAGTACTGTACTTCCTATTGGATCTTGTGTGCTAAACTGCAACCTAGGTAAGTTAAAAACTCCTAAATAATAGAAATGCTGACACAACCTTAGCTATATTAGCACTACTGGGTGTTGCTATAATCCTTGATACAAAAAAAAGATATACAACTGCCCTTTTAGAATTTTAAAACAGGTTATATTACACCCAACTAAAACAAAAGTGTATACCAATTTTATTTACTTGACTTGACTTTAATAGCCAGTAAAGTTATCCCTATAGTGTTGTTGCAGTCAGTATAGAAGACGAAAATTACTGTGAAATATATCCCATCATCCTGAAAGCTTAATTGGGAGCCAAGCTTTTTCCACTGCTAAAACAATGTGTTTGTAAAACAAAAGTAACTGTCTGATTACATACCACCGCTTTCTAATGTTAACCAAGTTTTTTCATTATTATTATAATACATATCTGAGTAACTGAAATAAGCTGCCTATACATATATCACATGCAGGGGCATGACAAACTATGTTAATTACATATTGTGTTGACATTTCAAGCATATTCTCTGCAACAATATTTGCATTAAAAATACAGACAGGAAAGCACATGGGAATAGTCTGAATACTGATTCATATTAACAAACTCATTGCTATTATCCTTATCCTCAAATACAAATTTGCAACAAACCAGTTAATATTAGGAAGTTACAGCATGTGCAAACTGCTAGCATACATGACCAGGCTGAGAAACAATATCTGCAAATGTTTATACTTCAGTAAAGAAAGTTTAGTGCTATCTGTCCTGTCCTATATCATTCTAAATAGCCAAAATATTCTGAAAATTTTAATGCCTTGAACAAATAAAATGCCTGTAGCCTGTTAATATGTAGGTATAAAGAACGTTAGTATTTTATATTGTTTGCTCAAAAATACACAGTTACCATCAGGGCTCGCCTGTGCTTGTACAGAGCAGACAGACACTTAGGGCCATGGCCAAACTTTCAGTAGCATACCAGTGGAGTTAAGGGCATAGCTACCAGAAGTATAAACAAAGCTGAGGAAAGGAGGAGGGAGTTGCACTGGCATGAACTTGCTTTTTTTCATAGGGTCATGCTTTCAAGATAAAGGGAGGGTTTGAGGTGTGCTGGAAGAGCAGCTGGTGAGAGTGGAAATACCTGTGCAACTCCAAACTTGGCACATGCCATACAAAGACTATGGTGCATGTTACCCAAATGCGGTATTTTAGGATACAGCACTGCTGCTGGCATTCCCACTTATGAAACATGTAGCTGCCAATCCCAAGGATGACGTAACCAGGCATATAATACCAACACTGGTACTAAATTATTATGAGCTTCACCAGGTCATATTTTCAGATCCAAATGTAAACTTTCTAGGGGTCTTTGGTTGTAGACTGCTTTAGAAAACGTGGAAACTGGTAGCTATCTAACAACTTAAATCATAGGATGCTTTGGTCAACTTCCCTACATTTTATTAGTTAAGATTTTGGGGTGAAGTTACGTTACACAGACCACACTAAATCTACAGAAAGTTAAACAGTGTTAAAGTTAGAATGTGCTGTGAGCAGCCATACACTCAGGGTTAATACTAGGCCTGTGCGAAGCAACTAGTATTCACTTTGGATTCAGATTCAGCCGATTCAGGGGACAGTGATTCGATTCCGTGATTCAAATCACTGTTCTGAATCGATTTGGCCAATTCTGATTTGGAGATTCGTCCACCGCTAAATTGGCCGAATCTCCGAATCGCCCCCATCCCCTGCCTGTTCTCAATGACTGCCCCCGCCCACTCTCCCAGCTCCCGGCTCTTAAAAAAAAACAACAACAAAAACCCCACTCAGCACCTGCTGCCAGGTGGGGGGGTGATCCCCACTGCTCCCCACAATGTAGGGGGCTCTGCCACAAGCCCCCTGATCCCCACCTGCCCTCTCAGCCCCCCATAGCTGCCTTGCCTGCTCTCCCAGCTCCCGGCCCTTTAAAAAAAAAGCCCCCACTCACTGGCTCCTGCCAGGTGGGGAGCGATCTCTGCTGCCCCGTGCTGCATGGGAGGTTCTGTCACCAGCCTGCAGAAGTCCAAAGGCTGCTGCAGCAGTCGGCGAGTCCAGGATTTCTTTGTTTTTTGTTTTGTTTTTAACAGCTGGGAGCTGGGATGGGCAGGCAGCCATGGGGGAGCCTGGGAGAGTAGGTGGGGGTCGGGAGGGTTGTGATAGAACGTCCCATGCTGTGTAGGGCAGTGCGGGACAGCGGGGATCACCACCCCACCCCCCCGCCCCACCTGGCAGCAGTCGGTGACTGGGGGCTTTTTTTTTTTTAAAAGTCAGGAGCTGGGGCCAG